CCCTTCAGGAGGTGGCTCGTCTTCATCTTCCTGCTTGTTAGCGATCTGTTAGACTGCGTGATTGGGAATGTCTGGAGAGTTGTCTGGGAATTTGCCTAGCGTGCCCGCTCCTCAACATTGCTGCCTTCCTCCGCCTCATCGCCTACTGGGTCTCCTCAGGCAATGGTGCGGCCACATGGCCGTGTCCAGTAACATGACGTTCCTGACTTCTCGTCTGATTAGCTGGTCGTGTGATTTGGATAAGGCTGCCAAGATGGAGCAGATGTCCGAGAATTCTCTAGCTCGTTCCTGCAGAAAGAAATTCGTAAGGCTCGTGGGCAGCTTCGCTTTCTGGGAATTGGGTCTGCCAAGAAGCGGCCAGCCAGTCAATCAGCTCCTGCGCTCACGCCGACAGCTGGACGCGAGCGCTGACTACAACACTTTGCTAGGAGCTGGGCTTTTATACCCTGGCGACGAGTTTACTGCATTTTGTTCAAGTATCACGTTGCGCATTGGATAGCATTGATTCGGAGGATTCCATGGGTCTGCCTGTTCTTACTTGTTTGAGCAGCAGATGCTGATGACGTCCAGTGCGTGCGCAAACGGGCTGGACAGCTTTCCTGGAGCCATCCTGAAAGCGCGTCCTCAAGTATGTGCTAGGCTTTTTTTTCCCCCTGGTCGTTCAATCTACGCATTGTTTCCATGATCCCTGCAGGGGAAGAGTTCCTGGCTGGGTGAGCTATACAAGGGGAAGGGGGAGCCGAACAAGTGTGTATCCAGCTGTTCGGTTACTGTTGGTCCCCAGGTGGCGAAAAGAGCGCATGCACTTGTTGTTGGTCGTTTGCAGCCTTTCCTGGAAGCGTTTGCATCCGAGTCTCAGTGAGAAGGCATTCGAGGTCGAGGTGTCGATTTTGCTGTGCACATGGTGAGGCTGATGCAAGAACGCTCGCGCATTCGATCGGAATCGATGTCAACCCTTTTCGCGGATTTGGAGGCCGCTTTCAATCATATTGTCGGGGAGATGTTGATTCGGTTCGAGGGGGAGAAGGTCATCAAGGGACGAGTGCCCATGCCTCTAGCCTGCCGCCGTCATGCATGGGACTCTTAGCAGAGGAGCTTATACGACATTCCCGTCTTGAGGACCTGGAGGTTCCTCCACATTTGCAGCGTATCTTGGCAGAGACCTTGTCTGGTACATAAGCAACTACTCAAGGATCTAAGAGCATGACGACCGGGATTAGACCAGGAAAGGCTTGCCCAGCATGCTCGTTTCGTGTTGAAGAGTTGTACTAGAAGACCGTGGGATCGACTGGTGGATGCTGGCCTAGACCAGAAGCTAGATGTGCCCGCTAATCGTAGCCTGAATCCACTGTCACAATGTGACGCAAAAGTCTCTACCAAATATGTTGAGTATCATGATGACAACCTCTTCAATGAATGGGGCCCCGCTTCTCATACCATAAACCGTAGGCGTACCTTGATGACAATTGTTGCGGATACCATCACCCCTGTGGTCCTCAAGATCAACGTGGGACCCGCCAAGTCTGCTCTTCTGGTTACCTTCAGGGGCCCTGGGAACGTGACGGCCCGCAAGCAGTTCTGGATCGAGGGAGAGGGAAGGCTTCTGTTCCGCCGTCAAGGTCGCTTCCGTCGGATTTGACCCTGGAAGCCGTACAGCAGTATCACCATCTGGGTGGATTAGTTTCTGCTTAGAAGGACCAGGTCCCTGAGTTGGCCTATCGGGTTGCGTCTACGTCGACGTCGCTCCAAGCTTTCCGTCAGGTGGTCATTTCGAACCCCCAGCTCTCCACGCATGTGTTGATATTGTCCGGCAAGCTCTGCAATGCGGCTACGTGGTCGTAATCTTCCGCAGTTCAATGTAACACATGTCGTGCAGGTATTGTTCGCATATATGGGTCTGCCTTGGGCAAGGCGGCCTACGATGATGGTGCGGAGCCTGATCGAGTCGCCCTAGCTGCTGCTCAGAGAAGGTGTTGACATCCTATTCCACTGGCGTAGACTACGATATCTTAGCAGGTTATATCGGCACGCCCCGTCGGCTCTGTTTGGGCTCTTTCGAGATACGCCAACTCCCAAGCACTCCTGGTTCAATACTGTCCTGGATGATATGCGGTGGCTTCGTTCTCGGTTTTCCGAGCTCAGTGAGTTCCCCAGCCCCTTATCCTGAGTTTGGAATTTGGGAAAAAGAGATTCTTGGACGTGGCCAACACTGGGCTAACCTTGTTGCGTCTGGGGTGGAGACGCACGTCCGATGGGCCTGTCGTATCGAGGATGCCAGGAAGCGGACGCAAGATTTTGTCCAGCATGCTGCTCGTATCGGTGTGCCACCAAACTTAACTCTGAAGCCGGCACCTGTGCCTGTTGTGCATCGCTATCCTCTTTGTCCGTTCTCCTCGGTTAAGCGTGCTGCTGTGAAGCAGCAGATTGCCCGCCTTCATCACCAACAGCGCCCTGTGGCTGCTCGGAAAATTGATTCAAGTGCATGTCTGAATTGTTTGACCATCGCCCACCTTACCTACGGGAGCCCGAACTGCTGAGTATTTGCCCTGTCGTACCTTAACCCAGAAGCCCCTGAGGTTCTGGAGGAAGTGCGGGCCTTGAAGGCCATGGAACGACGGGAGACGCGCAAAAAAAAGAGACCATGAGAAGAGGGGCATGGCTCCCTGCCTATCGGGACCCTGGGCCCCGCAATGTGCCCCTAATGACCCAGCTTCCGTATGTGGATGACTGGATTGTTATTTGGTCTATGGCCTACCAGTACGATGACTATCCCGAGCAGTTGTTTGAGGTACAAGAGGATCCTCGACTGGAGCCTCCACCGAAATATGAGAAATGGTTTGAATATCTGCAGTATGATGGGCCCTCTGCTGACCGTTGCCCGCGGCCACAGTTTGCTATCATTGCGTTTTTGCACCTGCTCTCTGGAGCTAGGTGGGATGGGGTTGTGCATGACGAGTTGGTACGTGTCCTTATGTATGCATGGGCCTGTCACCATCATTGTGATATCCTGTGATGTGGCGTGTGACCCGGTGAATGGCGACCGCGCTCGTGGGGAGATAGTGCATCAGTGGAATATGTTCCTGAGATCGGGCCAGGCTATTGGTCTCCTTGGAGGCCCGCCCTGCAAGACGTGGTCCGCAGCACGGTGGCAGGAGCTCAGAGCTGCTGATATGTATCGTCTTCCCGTCCGTACGTTGAAACATCGTTGGAGTCGTCCAGCAGTTGTCCATCGGCTCTCAGCCCCTGGTCAGCCAGCAACAGCTTATGTTGACATGCCTCGAGGTAGGAGCCTGTGCAGGCAAGGAACATCCTGAGACCGCCCACTGGGAAGAACGTGCCCCCAGTTCGTGGAAGTCTGCCACGTCGTGTGCTCTAAGTGCTGCTCCCCCCTCCCGTGCGGTCTCTTTCGACCAGTTTGTGTATGGTGAGGCCAGAAAACCTCCTACTGCGTTGATGTGTATTCGGTTGGATTCACTTGTGAAGGAGATCCAGGGACGGGGGAGAGGGGGCCGGCGTTACAATCTCAAGAAGACCCACACCACCCTCCTCGGGCTTGATCATGCCACGGGTAAGTGGCGCACGGCGCCAAAGACAAGGTGTCCTCAGGAACTATGTGCAACTATGGCGAGAGCTGTGGCTATGTATGAATCAGAGTCTTACACATTATGCGATCCAGGTGAGCTTGATTCCAATGAACTTCCAGATGGTCTGAACGTGATTCTTCAGGCTATAGACAGTCATGCTGCAGAGACTGCGGGGGACACGGTTTACATGGTCCTTATTGCAATTTTGCTGGGTTCAGAATTCGGGGGCCCAGGGATACCCGTCTTGACCGTCCCCGAGCCTCGACTGCCTCGCCAGAGACACCTGAGAGCCCCAGGTGGAGGAGGAGGAGGAGGAGGAGGAGGAGGAGGAGGAGGAGAGAGGGGGAGGAGGAGAGAGGGGGAGGAGGAGGGGGGAGGAGGAGGACGAGGGGCCCCGATCCTTGGCCCGAGGAGCTAGACCCTTGGGCTTGGGAAGGCATGATCAGGTCTCGGGAGGCGCCTGGGGACCCCTGGGCTGCCCACCACCACCCTCCTACTCCTCCTTCTCCTCATCATCCTCACCCTCATCCTCTTCTCCTCCTCCTCCTCCTCCTCCTCCTCCTCCTCCTCCTCCTCCTCCTCCTCCTCCTCCTCCTCCTCCCTGCCAGAGTGGAGCTCACTGATGAGCTACGCCGCCAGATCCGGGCCCGCAGGGAGCAGGCTCGCTTCTGCCGAGGTCTCCGCCGTGCTGTGCCAGCTGGAGGCCTCTTCTCTTCGACGACAGGGCCCCTGGTCTCTTTTTTGTTGTAATGGTGATCTTGCATCGTGCTCGATCTTATCATTGCTCTTCCTCTAGGCTGGCGATGAGCCTTCGATCCAGATCCAGATCCTCCTCCTCCCCCTCCTCCTCCCTCAATCTAATCCCCCCCAACCTCTCATCCTCCATGCACCTTCTGTTCATCCATCTGTTCATCCACCTCCACCTCGTTCTCCTCCTCATCATCATCATCATTATGCCCCGTCTCCCCCTGGCTCCTCCTCCTCCTCCTCCTCACAATGGCAACTCAAAATCGCTTCCCAGACCCCTCCCGGGATCCAAACGCACCAGTTCCCCGAGCTGCGTCCAGCCGTGGCAACGAGGGGGCCCCCCGAAGGCCAACGACCATGATCTCAACTCGTCCCTCCTCCTCAAATCCTCACTTCTCCTTCCATCTTTCACCATCCTCCCGCCTTGCCCAACTCCTTCCAACATCGGTGCCCGGACACCCCGGGGTCCGTTCTGGTCCGTTCTTCGAGGCGGATCTGGCCGTGGAGGCGAGAAGCGCGCATGATGCCCAAACAGGACAGAAAATCCCAGGGAGGGCCGCCGTTCTCGACTGGCCATTCTCGTTCCGTCCCCCACCCTCCACCACCCTCCACCATCCGCCCTCCTCCTCCACGACGACGGCGGCTGCTGAAGCAACGGCGACGCGCGGCCGATGGCGAGGCCGGCGGCCAGCGAGCTGAGGCCCACGGTCGTGCCGGCGGCGAGGTGAGCGTAGCCCGAGTACGCGGAGTATGCAGGGCCGTCCTCGCGAAGGGATAGGATCCAGACGTGCTCGCTTTGTGAGAAAAAGGCACGACGGGAAGTTTTTGGCCGTTTTCGGGCTCAGTGGGTCCTCGCCGGGCAACGGCAGACAACAACCACTCGGGATGAAAAACAGGCCCTGGGGAAAGGATCGGCACTTCGGGGGGCCCCGCATTGGAAAATTAGGACATCGCATCTCTGGGGGGAGAGGAGCAGGAGGAGGAGGAGGAGGAGGAGGAGGAGGAGGAGGAGGAGGAGGAGGAGGAGGAGGGGAGGAGGAGGAGGAGGAGGAGGAGAGGGAGGAGGAGAGGGAGGAGGAGGAACAAGAGGAGGAGGAGGCGAAGGAAGAGGCGGAGGAGGAGGAGGAGTCGGAGGAGGAGGAGGCATGATCCAGCATCGAGGTCGAGGTTCGAGGATCGGGATTCGAGTGTCGACGGCTTCTAACGTCTGTCGGCTTTTCTGGGACTCTTGGTCATCACCGCTGGATTCACCTCGAAATCCTGGTCGGAACGCATCCCAGGACGTCCCAGGGACGAGCTTTCCCCTGCCATCATCATCATCATCATCATCATCATCATCATCATCATCATCATCATCATCATCATCATCATCATCATCATCATCATCATCATCATCCTCATCCTCATCCTCATCCTCATCCTCATCAGCAGCAGCAGCAGCAGCAGCAACGTCAGCATCATCAACATCAGCAGCAGCATCAGCATCAGCATCAACATCACCGTCAACATCATAATAATCATCATCGTCATCCTCATCATCATCAGCATCATCATCATCATCATCGTCATCATCAGCATCAACATCTGCATCAGCATCATCATAATCAGCATCAGAATCCTCATCATCATCACCATCATCAGCATCATCATCAACATCATCGTCATCTCAACATAATTATCATCACCATCATCGACATCATCAGCATCCTCATCATAAGTATCACCACCATCATCGATATAATCATAATCCTCCTCATCATCGTCACCATCATCAGCATCGTCATCATCATCATCATCATCATCATCATCATCATCATCACTATCATCGTCATGAACACTATTCTCCCCCTCATCTTCATCATCATCATCATCGTCATCATCATCATCCTCATCAGCATCATCATCCTCGCCATCATCATCAGAATCATCGTCATCATCCTCCTCATCATCGTCATCATCGCCATGGTTATCCTCTTCCTCGTCATCATCTTCATCCACGTCATCTCTGACATCATCGTCATCATCATCATCCTACTCATCACCATCATCATCTGCATCATCGTCATCAACCTCATCAGCATCCTCCTCCACGTCATCATCGTCATCATCATCCTCCTTCACAACATCATCATCCTCAGCATCATGGTCATCGTCAGCATCCTCATCATCAGCTCCATCATCGGCATCATGATCCTCAGCATCATCATCATCAACGTCATAACCTTCAGCACCATCATCCTGCGCATCATCATCGTCATCATCAGGTTCATCATGCTCATCGGCATCATCTTCATCATTAGCATGGTCACCATCACCAGCATCATCAGCATCATCATCCCCTCCATCAACATCCTCATCATCATCGTCCTCACTATCATCATCCTCCTCATCATCATCCTCATCAGCATCATCGTCCTAATCATCATCGTCATCACCATCATCGGCATGATCAGCGCCAGTCGCATCATCATTAACATCGCGATCATCGTAATCATCATCATCATCACCATCCTCAGCATCACCATAACCATCATACTCATCAATATCATCATCGTCCGCATCATCAGCATAATCGTCATCATCCCCCTCATGATCAGCATCATCATCACCATCATCCTCATACTCAGCAGTGTCTTCATCATCCTCATCATGGCCATCATGATCGTCATCATCATCCTCATGACACGCATCATCATCATCGTCACCATCACCATCACAATCATCATCAGCATCATCATCACCATCATCATCTTCACACATGCATAAATAACAACAGCAACAAAAACAAACTTATCCTCAGCATCATCAGCAGCATGATCATGAGCATCATCAGAATCACCTTCGCCGTCGCCCTCGTCGTCGTCCTCAGCCTCAGCATCATCATTACCATCATCAGCAGCATCATCATCAGCATCATCACCATCGTCGTTGTCGTCGTCGTCATCCTCAGCCTCATCATCATCATCATTATCAGCGGCAGCAGCGTCCTCCTTCCCCCCTCATCATCATCATCATCATCATGCTATGAAGCATCATCATCATCATCATCATCATCATCATCATCATCATCATCATCATCCTCATCATCACCATCTATATCATCAGAATCAGCACCAGTATCACCATCATCGATAACAGCAACAGCATCAGCTTCATCTCCGTAATCAGCATCAACCTGTGCATCATCAGCGGCCGCCCCATCAGCAGCATCAGCATCATCATCATCGTTTTTGTCGTCACCGTCGTCGTCATAATCACCACCACCATCATTATCATCATCATCATCATCATCATCATCAGCAGCAGCAGCAGCACCATCATTATCATAGTCGCCATCATCATCATCACCAGCATCATGTTCATCATCCTCATCAGCATCACCATCAACAACAACATCATCATCATCATCATCATCATCCACATCCTCGGTATGGTCATCCTAATCATTACCAGCATCATCCTCCTCATCATCAGCATCAGCATCGTCATCATCAATCTCAGCATCCTCACCATCACAACCATCGTCATCGTCCCATCCCGCATCATCATCATTATCAGCATCCTTCTCGTCATCAGCATCATCGCCACGATCATCATGATCATCATCAGCATCATCATCAGCATCCTATTAATCATCGTCATCGTCATCGTCGTCGTCATGACAAAGAGTGTGAAGAGTGTCGTATGGGGACAAGGGCAATACAAATGGGGTTGCATGAACCACGAGGGAAAGTACGCCGGCTGTCCATCTTGCCGAGGATGATCACGGCAGCGATGAAGGGGAGCCAAAGAAATGCACTAGCCCAGCCCTCTCCTGCTTCAACCTCCTCGTTCCCCTGCTCCTCCTCCTCCTCCTCCTCATCCTTCTCCTCCTCTTCTTCCCTCTCCTCCTCATCCTCCTCCTCCCCCTCTTCCTCCTCCTCCTCCTCCTCCTCCTCCTCCTCCTCCTCCTCCTCCTCCTCCTCCTCCTCCTCCTCCTCCTCCAGGCCCCACGGGCAGCAGCAGAGGTGGATTCCCTCCCACTCACCACAGCCGTGTCCAAGGAGGGCTGGGCCAGAATGCAAGGCGAGGCCAAGCCGAGGAGGGTCCCCTCCCGGCTGCCCATCTACAGAGCTCTCGGCACAGCCATCGGAAGGACATCATCAGGCGCGCCAGTTCAAAGTATCCAGACGCCTGAAATCAGTCTGCTATCAGCGCTCGGGCTGAAAAACTATTCGTACTCTGCTAATTGCTTGGAGATGGTAGTGATTTTTCTTGACTTAACTCGCGCTGCAGATGAGCTACAGAGCTGTCCAGCACAGCAATCGGAAGGGAAGCATCAGGGGCGCTAGTTAAACGTATCTAGACGCCTGATCTCGGTCTGCTATCAGCGCTGGGGCCGAAACCAACTATTCGCGTTCCCTTCCTCTCCGCCTTGACCTCCTCCTTCTCGCCATCCTCCTCCTACACCTCCACTAATTGCCTCCTCCTCCTCCTCCTCCTCCTCCTCCTCCTCCTCCTCCTCCATTCTTTCTCCTTAAACATAACTCCTTCCTGTCGCACCCCGAGGCGAGCTTTTAGGGCGGGCCGGGCGTTCCGCCTAAGACTTCCTCACCATGTATGACTCTGAAGCTTAAAAAGTGACTAACGTTTCACACATGGAGGGCGGGTCGTTTTCAAAATGTGTCTCTCGCCTCAGCGCCGCGCACATTCGCTTAGAAAAATTGCAAAAGCTTCACGGATTGAGGGCGGGTCGTTTTCAAAATGTGGTTCTCGCCTTAGCGCCGCACGCATTCGTCTTAACAATTTACAAAATGTTTACCGATTGGGGGCGGGCCGTTTTCAAAATGTGGCTCTCGCCTTAGCGCCCCGCACAGTCGTTTAAAAAACTCCCAGGGTTTCACGGATTGAGGGCGGTTCCTTTTCAAAATGTGGCTCTCGCCTTCGCGCCGCGCACATTCATGTTAAACAGTTGTAAGAATTTCACGGCTTCACATTATCAACGTACCAGAAACTGTGTTTTGGAAGGATTCAAGATTATACGGGTGCAACAAGTATGTTGATTCGCGGTGTTGAAGTCCTCAGAATGGCGCTCTGGCACGATTCCGAATCTGCAAGACGCAGCAGTCAGGTTGATACATGGCGTTGAAATCCCGAGAACAATGTCTTGGACATGCTTCAGGATCTTCAAACGGTTGTCTTCCAACGAGGCCTCCCTCTCGCCCTGCGCCTCAATGCCCCCTTCTTCCATTTCCCTCCCTCCTGTCCCCCTCCTCGTCGCCTCATCCTGACTCCTCTTCACTCGCCTTCCCTCTCCCTCTCCCTCTCCCTCCCCTCCCGCTCTCATTCCTCCCACCCCGCCCCCACACCACTCATTTCCCTCCTCGTCCTCACCTTCCCCCCCCCCTCCCAGTCCCCTTCCTCTTTCTCCTGCTCCAGCCACCGCTCCTCACTGTCAGGGGTCGGGGGTGGGCTCGGTGCACCTCTCTCCGCTCCCCGGATTAGGCCGTAGATGCCCAGAACCCCCGCCATCACCACCGGCACGAGCGACCGCACCACCATGTCCGGTCGCCCGATACCCAAGGAAGTGATGCCGACGCCGCACCTTGCCGTGCCATACGCGGCACCAAAATTGGCGAAGACGACCTAGAGGGACAAAAATCTGCAAGTCCGCGCGGATTTCAGAAATCGGCACTGGGCCCACCTCCCTGGCGCGCGGAGCGCGGCAGGGGCGGCGCCAGAGGCGCCGCCAAGGGGTCAAGCGCTGACTCGAGAAACCCGCGTGGAGCTCCGAAAGTTAGTGTTTATGCATCTTCTTCGGCGACCGCGACGGTCACACCCATGAAGCCAAAGAACGCCGACGCTGGATCGCACCTCCTCTCCATGGCGCTGCCATGGCTCGCCAGCTCTGGCAGGCGGTGCTGAGGAAGCCCCGGCCAAAAAAGGCCTGAGCCCAAATGGCTGCGGAGGACGGGGGCAAAGGTCAAGCACATCGTCATCCTCGTCGTCATCATCAGCATCATCATCATCGTCACCAGCACCCCCTCAACATAATCACCGGCACAACCATCCGCGTCATCAGCATCACCATCATAATCATCATAACCACCATCGCCATCACCATCACATCACAATCACCACGGTGTTCCTCACCTTCGTCATAGCCTGCAAAATCGCCATCGCCATCATAAACATCATCATCACCGCCATCACCACATCACCAACACCCTCACCATAATCATCGTCGCCCGCCTTCTCCTCTGCCCTCCTCCTCCTCATCCTCCTCCACATTATCCTCCTCCTCCTCCTCCTCCTCCTCCTCCTCATCTTGCCCCTCCCCACCCCCGATACCCCCACAGCCGCTATCCCGCCCGACGCACCACCACCACCACCACCACCACCACAACACCACCACCTCTGAAATTTCTCCTCCTCCCCGTCCTTGTCCTGCTCCTGCTCATCCACCTCTTCCTCCTCCTCCTCCTCGTCCTCCTCCTCGTCCTCGTCCTCCTCCTCCTCCTCCTCCTCCTCCTCCTCCTCCTCCTCTTCTTCCTCCTCGACCTCCTTCAGTTGCGGCTCGTCGTGCGCGGGTTCACGCTTGGGGGGTCCTGGGCTCCACGGATGGGGCCGAGGCCCCGCCCCCGCGCGGAGGGGCGAGGCCCCGTTCCTCCTCTCCCTCCTCTTCCTCCTCCTCCTCCTCCTCCTCCTCCTCCTCCTCCCCCTCCTCCTCCCTCCGCCTCCTCCTCCTCCTGAGCGCCTCGGCCTGTTCCCGTCGCAGCTACTGTGGATGCTACTGCCGCTGCTAGAGAAGCCCAAAAGGAGGACTTCGACCCATCCTACTGCTTGCTGCTCCCGTTCGTATTTGGCAACGTTTGAGATGCTCGGAGGCTGATGAGTTTCCGGAGCGTTCCTGCAAACCCTATTGGTCCTTCAAAGCTGGGCAGTCTTCGGAGGCGACGGTTTGGAAGCAGTGTATCTTGGCTGAAGAAGCGGCCAGTAGCGGGGATATCACGGCGGGTTTCATATGGGACGGGCAGAAATACAATGAATCATTTAGGCTGGCCTGGCTTCGGGCTCGTGCTGAGTATTGGGCTATCCCTCGAGTGCTCACCAAGACCCTGTACAACCTATGGCGCAGCCCTCGTATACTGCGTCTTGGAGCCCATCATGGCCCCCTGCCAGAGTTCGCGGTCTCGGGTCTGCCTGCTGGTGACATGCTCGACGATGTGTACTTAAAGGTATATGCGATGTTCGAGTTCGACAAGTTTTGCCTTCGTAACCCGAAAGTGTCGCTCGGTTCGTACATCGATGATGACGCGGCCACCATGTCTGGACCATCAGAGCTCGTGGTCAGCACGCTCGCCGCCGCCGCTGCTGACCTGAAGGTTGGATTGCCGGAGCGACTGGATGTGAAGCTGACTGCGGATAAGGCCACCACGTTCGCGTCGACCCAGCGAGCGGCCACCCGCCTGGCCAAGAAGCTTGCTCGGCACTGCCTGCCCCCTGTTGCCTGCAACTCCGTCGTTTGCCTGGGCTGCGACCTGGCGCCAGGGCAGCATCGGACAACAAAGCAAGGTCTTACCAAGCGTAAGGCAAGGCTCAAGGCGATGAGAAAGCGGCATGTTGTCGTCAAGTTGTTTCGGAAACAGCTTCCTAAGGACCGATCTCGGATGAAAAAGCTACACGTGTCGGGACTCCGGCCAGCTGCTGGATCCGGGTCCATTGTCTTGGGGATGTCCGACCAGGAGCTTCTTGAACTCAGGAGGACGCTCTTAGCAGGATATACGCCAGCGCATCGAGGAGCCTCTCACACGGCCAAGAGTTGTTTGCATGGCGACCCAGCCTGGCTTCAGGCGACCGCTCCTGCCAGGCAGTGGGCGTCGAGTTCCTGGAATAGTCTGACGACTCCGACAACCAGCCCCCTCACCTTCAGGGACCATGTCAGGATATGGAGGGCCCTCGAGGCACAGCAGCTGGAATTGGGACCCCAACACTGGAGGTACTTCAGAGGCCCTGGTCATCGAATGCTTCTGAGCGTGCACCGCATAGGCTGGAAGGCTTTAAGCTTCCACCTCTGGCAAGATGACTTAGGACACTTAGTTGATTTAATGTACACATCCCCTGTCATGGTGTCTAGCTTGCTGCATGGGAGGAGTACAGAGATCCCATGAGAGGAAGCTCGCGGTGTCGGCCCCCTCCTTCGTCGGTGAGCGCGTTTTGGTTGACCCCCTCCGTGCCCTCATCCGTTCGAAGCGAACCACACCGCGAGCTGAATACTGGATCTGTGCATGGTGTTTCCAAGGGGCTTGGACGGCGGATCGCCTTCAGACTTCGGGATACGAGTCCGACGGCAAATGCCCATGTCGCGGACAGCCTGACTCCCTCGTTCACCGACAGTGGCTGTGCCAGGCCCCTGAGATAGAGGCAATGCGCAGCCAGATGATAGAAGACGAGATTGTTGAGGAAGCCAACGCCATCGAGCCGCCTGAGCACCATTTCTGGAGTAGGTTGATGGTGGTCCAGCCGAGTGAGTCAGTTGCCCCTCCTTCGGCGGCGACGGACCCTCTCCTTCAAGACGGCGACGGCAGGCCACTGACCCCCCAGGAATTCGTTGAACGTAGCGAGAGTTGTGATGTAGTGGTACACGGCTCGGCCACCCAGTATACCATGAACGATTTAAATGGAACTTCATTCGCGGCGATGTTTCTGGAGCCTAGGCCCGAGTACAAAGTTCGGACCAGGATACTGGTCCCGATTTGGCCTGCTCTCCCCCGGACACCGCAAGCCGCCAAGAAGATTGGTGTTGCCACTGGTTGTGCGTTCGCGTCGGAGCCGTCCGATTGCACAACGCGTCGGACGCGGCCCAGCTGCGCCTCAAGCAGATGTTTGCAGGAATCCGCAGGGCCGCTCAGCAGGCCCCAGGTGTTGATGCAGCTGTCGAGGCACACTGCACACCAGAGCACCGCTCAGAGGAGATAAGTCAAGCTTTCCCACCTGAGGAGGTAAGGATTGCACTAGCGAGCGCTGACGCCGACCGTCTGGCGAAGCACGCGCTCTCCCTCCACCCGCAAGCGTCACCTGCTGATGTGGAGGCCCTAGATACGCAAGTGAAGCTTCTCCTCTCTTGTGCGAAGACGTTTGGTGCTGTGCTCCCGCTGTTCCCGAAGCTGGAGTTCACGCGCCAGCCGCGCCAGGCCCGCCGCCCCCGAGTGCAGCCACCGCCCGACTGGCATGAGTGGGAGGAGCTCGGGGAAGAGTGCGGGGTCAGGTGCAGCAAATGTTTTCCGGCTTCTTTCGACAGCGAAGCCCGACCCATGAATGGTTGTGCGGGTGCCCCCACGGCCCTGAGGCGCCTCGATGGTGCCGAGTCTGTTCGACGACACAAGTTGGGCTTTGCTGCTTTGAGCCAGTCTAAAAAAGCACTGGTTTCGTGCATCCGATGTGGAGCGTACACCAGTCGTCGGTGTCACTTGCTTGGCCAGATGTGCCTTGGGAAGCTTGGAGCCTCAGGAGAGAGTGCCATCAAGCGAATCAGTGAAGGCCTCCACCCTCATTACAGAAAGACTGTTGAGGGTGATGATGCTGTTGCACCGTGCAGGGCACCGCCCAAGTCGGTGCTCCTCGCCCCTCCTGGCCCCGACGCCTGCAGGCAAGGCACGACTGGTCGACAACGATCGACTGCGAACCCTGGCCGAGCACATTCGGGCCAAGGAGGCGGCCGTCCAGTGAGGCGGCGGATCATAGGGATGTTCTGCCTCAGGCTTTCGGGTCCTCCTCCTCCTCCTCCTCCTCCTTCCCCTCCTGCCCGCCCCTGCTTCGCATCGTTGGGTGGCCTCACGCCAGGGTCGCCGTCGGCAACCGCCGCCGCGCGGAGCTCGTACATCCTGGAGGGGCCAGCACAGCCTCCACCTCCTCGCCCTCCTCTCATCGTCGTCCTGGCGATGCCCTTGCCGTCCGCCTCGAACCCCCTCGCCCTCGCCCTCGCCATCCTCTCGTCCGTCCTCCCGCGCCCTCCTCTCGCCGCCCAACACGGGGAAAAAGAGCTCACACTTTACCCCCACCCATGCCTTCCCCCTCGGCCTCCTCCTCTAGAAGAAGAAAAAAAACGCCATCAACATAAACAGTTGGCGCTCTGCGTGGATTTCTTGGACCCGCGCTGGGCCCCTCTCCCTGGCGCGCGGAGCGCGCCAGGGGCGGCGCCGGAGGCGCCGCCTGGAGGGCCCAGCGCGGATCCAAGAAATCCGCGCGGAGCGCCAAAAGTTTTATGTTCATGGCGGCTTTTCTTCTACAGGAGAAGGAGGAGGAGGAGGAGGATCAGGAGGAGGAGAAGGAGGAGGACGCCTTCCCCCTCGGCCTCCTCCTCGCCGTGCGCCACCCCTCTCCCGATGGGGCTGGCAGCGACGACTGCAGAGAGTGCACCGCCAGGGCAAGGCGGACAGGGCCTCTGCTCGTCCCCAAGGGGAGGCGGGCAGAGCGGCGCGAAACGACCGCCTGCAGACGCAGGCAGTCAACAAGCAGCAGCGCCGATTGCAAAAGCACTGCCTGGGGAACTGCACATAGGACAATTATCAAAAGGAGGGGAGGCTGCCCGAAAGCACCCGGGCCAACTTTTGGCCGAGTCTTTTGCCGAGGCTGAGCCAGCACTGCGCGTGACGTCTCGTGCAGGCGCGTAAGGGAGAAAACACTGACA